CTCTGTCCCCCTCTCTCTGGGTCCCTGTCCCCCTCTCTCTGGGTCCCTGTCCCTCTCTCTCTGGGTCCTTGTCCCCTTTTCTCACCTCTGTCTCTGTGCCTCCCTGTTCTGCTCATCATCTCTCAGTACCTCTCAGTGTCTCACATTCTCTGGAGGTTGAGGAGATGGGAGACTCCCCCCGCCCCCACCCCCACACTGTCCCCACCCCCCCAGGAATTTCCCTTCAGGTCCTTGTGGGCCGGCTGGGCCTCCATCTCCAGTACCCGACTCACCTGTCTCCTCCTCAGACCCACCCCCGTGGCAGGACCAGAGACCCCAGCACAGCTGCTGCCTGAAGGCCCGGCCTCCGCACACATAGAGCAGAGGGTGGAGGCGAGCCCCAGGGGTCTGAGCAGCACCCAAACCTCCCCATGTCCAGCCCTGCCTCCCGTGTCCCCACCAGCCTCAGCAGAGGCAGCAGGTGGAAGGAAAATCAGCAGAGGAAAACACGGCCCCCCCAGCAGCTGGGCCTCCCCGTGAGCGTCGCCAGCTGCAGCCTGGCCCTCGGGAGGCTGTGAAGGGCGCTCAGCACCCACAGGGGCACCCCAAAACCAAACACGAGCTGACTCAGTGGCGGGCTGGAGGAGCGCGGTGGCAGCTCCCCCGCGGGCGTCCGGCTATGAGGGTCGGCCCTGCTCCCTTGGTCGGCCAGGGTTTGCAGGGCTGGGGCGCCCAGGACCAGCACTTGCCAACCCAGGGAACCGCCTTGCAGGCTGCATGGTGGTCCAGCGCCCAGGCGGGCCGGAGCTCCGAGGTGCAGCGGTGGGCCGCCGCTGGCGAAGAAGTTCAGGAAGACGAGACCGGGGTCCAGGTGGCGGAAGATGCCGCCCAGGGGCCAGCCGGAGTGTGTCCAGGTCAGGGTCAGCGGCAGGAGGACTATGAAGGCAACATCGGCCGCGGCCTGGTGGCCAAACCAGGCGGCCACCAGAGGGGGAGGCAGGAGAGGCCAGCCCGCTCGGATCACCAGGCCGTGGCTGGCGCTTCCGGGAGGTAGGAGGTGAGGGCGGCCAGAGAACAGAGCAGGAAGACGGCAGCCCCGGTGGGCACAGGGATCCAGGGAGGGCTGGCCACTGAGTCTCCGAAGGGTCCTCCACGGGCTGGACGGTGCTGTGGGGACCCATAGCCCCCACACTCGTCCCCCCAAACTTCCCCAGGGCCTGCATCTCAGGGACGTCCCCACCATCCACCCAGACCCCATTCTCCCCCTCGCCTCTCACCGTCACCCTCCTTCTGATTCCCTCTGCTCTGTCCCCATCACCCTGGCCCGGCCCAGGCCTCCACCTCACCTGGCTGGACTCAGCCCGGCCTCCTCTCCGGCCTCCCTGCCTCCAATCTCCCCCTCCAGTCCATCTGCCACATGGCTCTGGAGCTGACCTGCCCCCGCACCCCCCTGTTCACACACCTCCCATGGCTCCCCAGCACCCTGGACAAAATCCCAGCCCCTCAGCCTGGGGTGGAAGCCCTGGGAGGTCGGCCCCATCCTCCTCTGCAGCCCCTTCTCCTGTCCTCATCGTGTCACGCCTACCCACTCCCGGAACTAGTCCCTCTCCCGTCTCATGCCCCTCACTCCTGCGGTCCTCCTCCATCCTCTCAGGAAACCCGTATCCTTCAAGGATTGCAGGATCCGAGCTGCGCCATGCCCCACGAGGTGGCTACTTTTAACGGCTCCACCATTCCGGGGGGGAAACGGAGGCTCAGAGGGGGCGACTCGCTTGCTCAAAATCAAAGGCGACAAAGCAGAGACCAAGCCCGGATTTGAACTCACGTCTGTGCAACCTCAGAGGCCTGGATCTTAACTCGGGGGATCTGCAGCCGGGTCCTGCTCTGTTCGTGGGCCTCAGTTTACCCACTCTGTTCCCTCGTTGTCCTGGGCTCGCCAGAAGGTGGGGGACAGGTGTCTTCCAGGGTGTCTGACCAGGAGCGGGTGGCCTGGTCTCCCCTGGAGGACTCGGGATGGGGAGGAGAGGGCAGCTCACAAGTGGACAGAAGAGGAAGTCAGAGCCGGGGCCTGGCTGGAAATCAGAGGGGCTGCCACGCAGGGTCTGAGCATGGGCCTCAGTTTCCCCACCTGTGAACTGAAGCATTAGCTTGTTCACCTGGGCGCTGTCTTCCCGTCGCCCCAGGATAAGGTCCGAGCCCCCGAGCCTGGCATTTGCAGCCCTACCTGTTGCGGCCCCGCCCACATCCCCAGCCTCATAGCTCACCGCATCCTTCCCATTTGCTCAGGCCGCAGGGTTTCATGCACACACGCACACACCCAGCCTCTGTCCTTGCTGTTTCCTCATCCCGGAGCACTTTGCTTTACCCATCGCTTCAGCCAGCAAACTCCTACTCATCCTTCAAAACCCCATTGAGCACCACCCTCCCCAGAAACCCCTCTCTGTCTACTGCTCACCCCACCAGACTGGATCAGGTGTCACCTTCCTTGTATGTAGGGTCTCTGAGAGTGGGTTCAACTACACAATGAGCAGGAACTAAGTACTAACTATGTATGGGGCCATGTGCTATAACTGTCACAGGCAGCATTTTAATTTATTCTTCCAAGACCCCCATGAGGATGATACTATTGCTGTCTTCGTTTTATCAAGGGGGAAACTGAGGCATAGCAAGGTTGGGTAACTGGACCATCGGTAAATGAAAGAACCGAGAAAGGAACCCAGGTTAATGGACTCCAGGATCTGAAGTCCTAACCATTGTATTATCTTGCCCAAACAAATACATATCAAAGGAATGCACAAATCGCCCTTGAGCAACCAACCCACACAAGCCCTCAGGACGTGTTTGTAAATGAATGAGCAAATGGATGTATTCCCATCTCCACTTGGTGAACTCCTACTCATACATCAATTTCCAATGCAAATGTCCCCTCCTCCAGGAAGCCCTCCCTGACTTTTCCAGACAGAGTCCTCCTACAGCCTCCCTCCCTTCCTCTAATCCCCTTAATCCCCCCAGGCTGGAACTGTCTGTGCTTTATTTGTGTCCTGCTCCAGCCAGGGAGCCCCCCGAAGGGCTGGTTCACATCCATGTTCCCAATATCTGCCAGCCCAGGACCAGGCCCCCAGGAGGCCTCAGGACATATTTGCATATGCAGCTGATGGTCTGCAGACAGACCAGAAGGAAAAAGGGGCTAAAGCCAACAATGAGAAAGATATGCAAAACCTCCGGCTGGTTCTTCAGCAAAGAGACAGGGCAGGCTGAGTGAGCACTGTACCGGGAGTCCAGAGACGATCCACCTTCTCTCCCTCACTCTGCCTCAGCCTCCTTGTATGACCCAATGCCTCATGCATCTCTGAGCCCCAGTTTTCTCAGCTGGAGAATGAGGATCCATCAACAATTTGGTAAGTGAATAATTTCACGCATCATAGAGGCCATCTTGGAGCCTCCTCGCTGTTCCTTAAATGCCTGGCACATTCCCGCCTCCAAGCCTTTGCACCCACTGTGCCTCCTGCCTGGAGTGCCCTTCCTCCCCCATCCTTCCAGCCGCCTTGTGTCGTTCAGGGCTCCACTCAAGGTCACCCCTAAACAGCAGCCCCCTCGTCACTCGCCTGAACCCTCCTGTTTGCCCCTCCTTAGCACGGATGATCGTGTAATATTTTTAATCTCTGTTTTGTTTAATTGTCTGCCTGCACCCCTGCCCCCAACGCTGCAACATAGAAATTCCATAACAAGAGGGATTTTCATCTTGAAGCAGCGCCTGGCACACAAATATTGTGGAATAAATGGACGCATGGGTGCGAGTAGGGAGCCTCGTGCCTGGTGTGGTTGGGCAATTGATGACCCCAAAGATGTCCACGTCCTGATCCCCAGAACCTGTGAGTATGTGACCTTACGTGGCACAGGGAAATGGAATCACAGAGATAAGGCTGCTAATTAGCTGACCCTAAAATACGGAGAGGAGCCTGGATCATGCAGGGAGGCCCAGTGTAGTCACTGGGATGCTTATAAGGGGAAGACGGAGGCAGAGAGAGATTTGGTACCCTGCTGGCTTTAAAGATGGAGGAAGGGGCCCTGAGGAGTGAAATGGGGGCAGTCTCTAGAAGCTGGAAGAAGAAAGGAAATGGATTCTCCTCTGGAGCCTAGTGACACCCATTTAGGACCTCTGATCCCCAGAATCATGAAATAAATTTGTGTGGTTTTAAGCCACTAAGTTTGTGGGAATTTGTTACAGTGGACATGGGATACGAACACATCCATCTTGTAGACCAGCAGATGGAGGCTCTCTGAAGGTCACGTAGTCAGTCAATTACTGAGTTTTGCTCTGGAATGAGAACGGAGTAGGAAATTGGGGACAAGCCACAGAGAGAAGAGGGTCTGGACCTAGAAAGGAGTGTCTAGGCTGTGGAGGGAGGGGTGGGGCTGGTGTCAGGGAAGAGGAAGGAGTGGGAGCTGGGAGAGGATGTGAGTGCCATGCTCAGCCAGGCCTTGTCCTGTGGCTCCTGTGGGCCTCAAAGTGCCCAAGCCTGGGAGGGGGATGAGGTGAGCAAGGAGGAGAGGGGGTCCTGGATTACAGCCCACCACCAGACTTTCCGTCCCTTCACTCCCTCTGGCCCTGTCCTGCCCCTCTCCCCAATCACCTCCATCTCCACGGCCTGACCCCTGCTCAGGCCTCCTCGTCTCCCTCTGGACCCCCGCCCCAGCCTTCTCCTGGCCTCTGTCCATCCCCCACCAGGCCCCAGAGGGGTCTTTCTACACCCAGCATTGACCCTGCCCCTCCCCTGCTCACACACCTCCCATGGCTCCCCAGTGCCTCTGGACAAAGTCCCAGCCCCTCAGCCTGGCTTCCCACTGTGGCCCATCTTAGCCCCCGATTCCACCTCCCACAGCTTCCTCCTTGAGCTCTGGGCCCCACACACCTGGTACTGCCTGGGTTGCTCACTGTCTGTGTCCATCTCTGCGGCCAGCCCGTGGCCTCTTTGAGATCAGGGTCCTGGTCTGACTCCTCCAGGATCCCCAGCATCACCCGTCACAGAAGGAGGCACACGAGAGGCCCCCATTTTCAAATTAGTGAATCATTAACACTCTATAAACCCAGGTCTAAGTCAGCATGAGATCGAGAGGGTGGGACCATACATCATTCATCACAGGTCACGTCCCAGGAGCAGGCGACACAGAAGCAAAGGAGAGAGAAAAGGGTGTCAGGCTATCACATCGCCCCCTCTTCATTTTATGCCACATGAACGAGAACGGGAGACCCAGAGTGCAGCTGTCCAAGGTCCCGAGTTCGAATCCTAACGCCAACATCTTGACCCTGGCTGGGACCTCGGCAAGGAAGTCTCTATCCCCATTTGGGTGCTCAGCCAACAGGAATAGAACCCACGGCTTTGCAGCTGCCCCGGGAGGGGAAGGTGTCAGGTGTCAGGGTCTGAGGAGTCTCATGACAACTATTTCCCAACATTTGGTGACAGTCTGTCTGTCTCCCACGGCTGGAGCATCTCAAACCAGGCCAGGTGGGGGGCGGCGCCTCCCTTCTCTCCCACTGAGAGAAACAGAGGTAGTGATTAAGAGGGTAACTGCCGCCCTCCTGCCTGGGAGCATAATGTCTGCTGTGGGATCCTTAGTTCAGGACTGTCTTCCCAGGTCTGCGAGCTCCGTGAGGGCAGAGGCTCTGTTCTTGTCAGGCACGCCTGATCCCAGGGGATGGCAGAGATGTGTACCTACTATGTGCTCGGTCAATACTCGTAGGGATGGAGTATGGTGAGGAGATGTGGGCTGTAGGGTCTGAAGATAGAGAATGCAGGACC